AAGAATTAGAAATTGCATTACAAGAAGAATGGAGTAAAATTTCAAGAAATCAATTAATGAATTATATAGAAAGTATGTCACAAAGAATAGAAGCAGTTATTAGAAACAATGAATGGCCAACAGGATATTGATTTATATATAGATAGTTCATTACATAAAATATAACATATTAAAATTCTAAATAGAATTATTATATAAAATTTTGTGTAATTAATAAATAAATGATGTATGATACTTTTGTCCAAGTAGTGTATTTATTATATAATAATAAGTTATAATTTCAAATTATAATTTTGGGATTATTATTTTAGGCCCAAAAAATTTTTGGTTCATCTTCAAAAATAATTATTCATACAAAATTTTATTATTTTCAAATAATATATATATAATTATTTATGTATTAATTTTTAAAACTTCTTAATTACTAAACCTATATAAGTGAAAAATTAGTAATTGTTACTTAAATATTTGAACTTTTCTTATCTTGAAAAATGACCAAATTAATTATAAATTTTTTTTTTGCAATTATCAAAAATTGCATATATTTATTTTTCATCCTGAAACGTTAATTTTAGTCGTTATTTTTATGTGCAAGTAATATTTTTTTCTAAAACAAGAAAATAATTATCATGCATATACTGTATATAAAATCGACTATAATTAGTTATATAACTATTATACTGCAATTATTCGGTTGGTATAAAAATTTCCAAAGTTTCAAGACTTAAGTTTAAATTTTGTTTAACTTTTTTTACCATAAAAAAATCGTTTAATGACATATTAGTATTTCTATTTTCCGATCAACAGGCCTCTTATTTAAAAACATCGATTTTTACATACTGTATCCAATTTACATTGCAAAACGTAATATATGTTTAATAAGATAATTACCGTAACAAATAATCTATAATTTGACCGACTTACATAAAATTTGGTCATACTGTATAAGCAATAAATAACTTTGTTAGTGAGTCACCTTGTGAGAATATTTTGTGGATCTACATGTACACGGTACTTCTACTATTTATTAACATATCTTAATTATTATGCGGCTCTACACTATATATCAGTCATTTTTATCGCCTTATACTATATACAGTACAATAATACCCAAGTATTTTCTCCGCAAAACTAAGTTTAAGAATCATCAAAATAAGGAGTCCCGGAAGTATGGAAATTGTTACAGTTTTAGAATACTTAGTCCGTTAAATTGAAGGGAGAATTTACGTCTTCAACATTTGATAATAGTTTTGCCATTTCTTTTTTGCACGATAAAATATTTTGATATTCTTTCACCAATAATTGCTCTTTTTCTTTTAAAGCTTCTAACTCTTCTTTCCAATTTTTAATTGTATTTTCCATATCACTCAAAGAGGTACGCTGGTTCACTTCTTTGAGATCACGATAAATAAAATAAATTGATATAGGGGAGGGTACGAGTTTACAAATAGCTTCCAAAGCGGCTCTACCTATTTTGAAGCTGGTAGAATGACTAGCTTCTTCGATTCTTAAATTCACGTCCATTTCAATTTCTTCACACGTCATTCTTTCTAGTACGTTTTTAATTGTAACAATTTTTTTTCTATCAATTTTTTGTTTCTTGTATTTTGAATCCTTGAAACGAGGACATATATCTTTAAATCTCGTGAAGGAGTTTTTTAATTCTATTTGGAAATTTTCTAATGCTTTGCATTTTTCCTTATCTTTAATAAGGCTTTCTTCGAATAATTTGTATGCTTCATTCTCCTTTACTATTGCAATAGAATCAGAGCTAGTCGCACTCAGCCAACCACCAACTGATAGAATAGCACCTGGCACCAAAGCGCGTGGAAACCATATTCCCGCAATTACCAAAACTTTACCAGTTAATATAACACTATGTCCAATAGTACTAGCGATAGATCGATTTTTCATATCTTCTGTTACTCTTTTTCTGATTTCTTCGATCACTTTGATTATTCTTTCCCGTTCGGGAATGAGCTCATTTAAACAATAAGAGCTTTTAATAAGAAGAGAATCGGTAATATTAATCGCTTCATTAATGTCTTCTATAATTGAATTGAATTCACCAATCATTTGACTAAATTTGGCAAGCAGTTCAGGCCGGTAAATTTCCTGACAAGTTTTCAAGTGTTCAAGTAATATTATGCGAGATGCTTCTCGTGAACTTTTTACAATTGATTCCATTAACTTATAACGACCTTTTAATGGCAGATTGTCTACGTAGATATCTTAGTTGAAGCAAGTTCGGTTGAAAGATTTGCAATTTTCCCTCGAAATGATTGGCGGTCCGTTTCACAGGCTTCATCATCTTCAAACTCCTGAAAGTCAGTGCAAATAATAGTCGTATAATTGACTACTTGTTCATCAAAAATGGTATTCTTCAGCAATTTAAAAGCCTCAACTTCCTCCCTAGTAAAACGGCCTCTTGTCACAAATAATATTTGATTTAAACCTTCACTAATGATATCGGCTTCAACTCCCAATGTACTTAATATTTCTTCTATTGGCCTGGTTGGATCTCCAATTCCCACAGTATCAAAAATGCGATATTTTATCCCTTCGTGTTCAAATACCAAATATTTTACTTTTTTTGTTCCGAAAATGGTACTTGTGCTTTCATTAAACTCATTAGTTCCGGTAATTACATTCGCCAAGGTAGACTTTCCGTTGCCGGCTTTTCCTATCAACAATACACTTCTAATTTCTAGCATAGTATAACCTTCTGATTGAAATTGAAAGGTGGTGCTCTTCTACTTAATTTAAAATATTATACCTGTACGAGACAAATATGAGATATAAGTACTATAAATGAAAGTTACCAATAGAATTCTTCCGTGAAAAAATTCCTCTTTTAAAATGAGCTTTGTATAAAAATTTCTACACAAAATAACTTTGTACTGTAATTTAATATTTATTGCATTTCTATCACATGTGTCTGCAAGTCTTAACGGTGCCGTACGGTATGCAAAGAACTGTACATCAGAAATGGCTAGTGATCGTACAATTAAAAATGTCGATACAGTAGAACAATAAAAATAATCTGGTTTCCAAAAGGTCATTGTTTCCTTTTAGGTGATTAATCCGTCGTACAGTACGTAGGTTCCCTAAATAAAATCGCGCACCACGTAAAAATACCAGATCATAAATACAGTACTTGATAAATTTTTATGTTAGACCATGAACCTTATTCTTGTATACCATTCCATACAAACAAAATACAATATTGCGTATCTAATAGATACAGTAATATACAGTAATATATACAAAAATTGTTATTTTACTTAAAAAATTTTGATATCATTCTATTATTACATTTTTAATTTATTGATATTACATTATATTGAACGAAAATAATACAGTGTATTTATATTATTTCACTTAGTCTAGGTTATGACCACTCAAGTGTGATTATTAAATTAAGGGTGTTTTCAAGAATCTTCATCAATGTGATTATACGTGTTGTGAGCAAGATAAAATTTAACCAATCAACATAACTCTATAAAAAAAAATACTTACATCGACTATCTTTTTTATCGAAATATGTATTAGAGCTTGTTAAATTTTTTTATAGTTTATTTATTAAAGTTTTGAGAATACCCTAAGCGTGCATCGTCATTTCGTGATATTAGGTCATGTGTCGTCACTCGAGTAACGATGATTTGTCTTCATTAAAGTTTGAGTATTGATAATTTTTAATCACTTGTTGAATTTCGGAAATTGTTTATACATCACATCGATTATGGTAAACGGTAGGTGCCTTGTCAATAATGATATTGAAATCTTTCGAAATCCAAAATCGATAGTAATCTTTATGCCACCTGTGAGCTGATTAGCTCACAATATGCCGTGGCTAGATATGAAGCTTAATCTTTATATGACATATTAACAGCAGAAATCCATTATTATTTTAAAACGACATGGGAGGTGTTTCTCTTACAGCATTGTCAGTATATTGTAACAGGGTAAGTTTGCACGCGACTATCGTCACGTGACTTATAGATGCGAAAGGCACCGCGAAAAGCCTGTTTAGTTGGTGGTGCACGATTATCTAAGGACAGAGGAGGATGGAAGAGTTGTGAAAAAGAATTATGTAATATAATCGCCATTGTTCTATAATAGCATAGCCACCCCTAATAATGTAAAAGAGAAGTATAAAAGGAATGTAAAATGTAAGGAAGCGAGATATGAATTAGAGAAGAAAATTAATAAAGACTTGGTCAAATAAAAACACGCCTCAAATCAACCTTTCATTTACTTACCTGCGAACGGTTACGAGAATCTCTGCCAGAGTTAGCGACTGACTCGCTGTTACACCGTTACAATATATACAGCTTCATTCGCATTGTTTTTGAGTGAAATTTCTCGTACTGTATAATATAGATTTTAGGTTATGTTATAAGGATAAATACATTAAAAAATGTTCTAGAATAATATATACTACATTTTTTTATCTACATGAAAAAATGCTTTAGAAAAATTTTTAAATTTTTGTTTTAAAGAATATTAAAAGATCGAATATTTGGAAATTACAGTATATAATAGATAAGGAATTTATTTTTGTGACTATTTTTATAAAGAATTGTTTAAATTTAGCTAATATTACTATAATAGTGTTAGAATAAAGACATCATAAAATATAAAACTACAACAAATAACAATTATCAAAACCACACAAAATGAAACGATCAGACCAATGCAAATACAAGCGTTTCGGCTGGATTGTCAATCATAAGTTCTTTTAACTTCAAGAAAGCTACATCTCTCGTTTCTGTCAATTAGAAAACCAAGATACAGTAAGTGTTGTTATGCGTCTGGAGCTGTTTTGTTTGAATACAAATAATCCTAAGAATAACAATGTAAATTTTAAAGAAAATATTAGAGTAACATTTTGATTTATATTATGAATGCAGTAGTAAAAAAATTTGTTTATTATATATTCATCTTTATTCGCACACTAAATATCATCAAGCAAATTAAAAACCGTTAAAAACCAGAAATAAGTTTATCACCAATAAGCGTAAGCTTTCGAGATCAATAATCTAACAAATATCGTTATATTATTTATTTAAGAATCCAATATTTATAAGAAATAATATTAACCATGAAGTTTACGACGTCCATTGGCCCATTACCAACGAAAACGATATTATATGTTTGCGGATAAATGTTAATTAGGTAATTTGTCAACTTCATAATTCAAGAACCGATAGAAATACAAGTTTTGTGACGAATCCCGCTGGCCATTGCACGTCGCTTAATGGGTCACCTAGTAGAATGGCATTACCGCGATTTTCAATGGAAGTTAAATAAGGGCTACCTTTAATCATTATTTAATTTTGTTGAATGTATGAATTAAAGGTTTTTTGATGTGATCACATATCTCCGTTTTCTCGTTAAATCACATCTCATTAGAAATGATGTGCATGTTCTTAGTAAGTGTTTTTGTTTATGGGTAAGACAGAATTAATTGTGGTTGAAAATACTTTTCTAATTAAACTTTCTTTAATTAATTTTTTCTTTCTTTTATACATTTTTGCTTATTTATTATATAATAAAAATAACAAATATAAATTAAGTAAAAACTATAAAAATATCATGACGAAGCAACTGTTATTTGATTATCATACTGTCGCGGGTCAGGGGTCTATCAGCAGTAACGGCAAAATCCTAGACTTCGCAACACTTCGACAGGGGTATCTGTTATAACAGGGGGGATTAAAGGCAGAAAGAGGTGTAGTGTGACGGGCAAACGGCAAGTCTGTCGCTAATGTCAACAGGGTTCGCGTAACCATCACTCGTGTTTCTTTAATTAAAATAGGTAATTTGAGGCGCACAATTCAGCCGAGTCTTTCTTACTTCTTGTACATGCACATCCTTTATTAACAACATTTTCTCACTTATTTATACATTTTCTTGTCTAACTATATGAGTTACAGAATGACGATTTTAAGCATTATTACATGATGATGAGCAATCTCACAATGTCATTGTCGTTGCTTACAATCATTAACTTGACTAGTCGTGACAGGATCGGATCTCGTCATCCAACGTAGATCGATCACATGTCGACGTAGCATCATTGTTCGTTGTGGGGCGCGTACGATCTTCTATCATCGTCGCTCACTTTCGTCACGTTAATTACATGTCTATGGTCTTATTATCGTGACACTTGCTAATGTTAGACAGATATTTTATTATTGACTATTTTTATTTTACCCCTTACACTGGCATCAACGAAGGCCTCAATTAGGTCATCAACTTGTGGTAAGAGGTACGCGTCTTTTTTAGTGACTGCATTCAATCTTCGATAGTCTACACACAACCGTAGTTTTCCACCTTTCTTCGGCACTACGACTATAGGTGAGGACCACGGGCTTCTCGATTCATGAACTAATCCCCTCTCTTTTAACTGTGCTATTTCTTGCTTGATAAACTCCTTCACATCTGGTGCGGCTCTGTAGGCATTTTGCTTGATCAGAGTTGCATCACCGGTATCAATGGTGTGCCATACTGCCTCAGTACTTCCTAACTCCTGCATGGTTCGCGCGAAAACATCTTGCTCTCTTATCAATGCCCCTTTTGCCTGCTCTATTTGTTCTTCCTCTAATTCTTCATCTAACTCCATTTCCCTTATCCTATCTTCTACGGTCTTTTCCTCTTCTTGATCTTCCTTAGTTTTAGTAGGGAACTCCTCCACCTGAGATAAGTACACCGCAGGTCCCGCCTCTTCTCCTCCTCCGAATTCCCGCACCTTAATCCATTGAATCTCTTTTTCCTCATTTTCTTCCGACCTAGCTCTTTGATTTTCTAGGTTGCTGAGAACTCTCACCAAATCTCGTAGTACGTCTCGCGGTCGATGATGGGTTTGTGGGATGTCTTCATCCGAATCACTCCCATTGTCACGATAATCCGGCTCTAGCGGCATCTCCTTTTTTCTATCTGGTCACGAGTTGGTCACGTTTTCTCCAGAAATGGTAAGTGTTTTAGTTGCGTTTGTTTGTTAATTATGATCAGCGTTTAATTAATGTTTGTGTATTTTTATCGGGGGGGGTAAATGAACAATGTTTTTAATTCGTTGATGTTCGAATCTCACGGTCTACCACCAAATGTCGTGGGCTAACCGGCGAGTCTGTTGCCAAAGATAGGTAAACTTCGTGTAACATGGGTTTAAACTCTTGAGGCGTGTCACAATTTGACCGATCTGGTTTCGCTTCCTAACTTTACACCGAACGTCCTATACTGGAACTCTTGTAGTTGCTAAAATTTTCCCAATCTTTCTAGCCGAACTCTGGTTTTTAAAGTCACATGAGCAAGGTATGGGCGTGAAAACAATCGATAGAAATAGTAAACACGAATGAGAGTTTAAATGCTTTGAGTCGGATTTTTCAGTAAATGCTACCTAAAGTCTGCTTGGCTTTATTTCGCTCATTCGATGGTCATATTTATACATGCTAGT